CCCCCCCCCCCCCCCCCCCCCCCCCCTCCAGAGTCCACCAACACACGTGTGCTGTACTTCAGCATATTCTCCATGTGCTGTCTTATCGGGCTGGCTACATGGCAGGTCTTCTACTTGCGGCGCTTCTTCAAAGCAAAGAAGCTGATCGAGTAGATCGGGGCCCTAGCTCCCTTACCTCGTGGGGGAAGCAGCCTGCTGGTTAGCCGGCCAACACATCCACCCTCCTTGGACTAGCTTCAGCAAACAACAGCAAGTGAGGTTCAGGGGCTCAAATTCTAGTTTTCACAAAGTCACGGTTGTCCTCTGAGAAAAAAACAAAATGATTCACCTGCTTATTGAGTGGTTTGAAACAATAAAAGCGCTGTAGGGAGAAATGCACTGTGAGACGTGGGGGGTGTATGTCACTGCATTAGTGAGATATGTCCATTTCATGGTACTTCACTTTTCTGTCTGCACTGTTTTTGAATGTTGCAGCTTACTGAATAAGAACTTGTCCCCTCAACCAGTTGAACAGCGATGTTTGATTTTGAGCTCAATTTGAATGGATGTGCCATGAGCGAATGTCTTTTTGCCCTTCTGTTAATGTACACATTCTTAGCCATGCCAAGCTAACTAGATCCTGGTGCCCTTTTATCAAGTGAAGGCTGTTTGTTGTTACTTGCAGAAAATTAGCAACCACTGAACTTCTGTGTTATGTCACATAATTTGCATACATGTTTGGTAGCTGAATTGAACCGTGTCTTTAGTTTGTTTTCATATTGTAAATGCTACTTAGTTGCTTCGACAGGTATATTTTTTGGGGGGGGGGGTGGGTTGTGAGTTGTCAAAGTAATCTCTTATGCAGTTATAAATAAGGTCACTTCTATGAGCTCCTGCATGTTCTAATTGTTTTTGAAACACCTGAACATTCATTTTTCACAAATCAAAAGTAGCCACAAACCAAAAACCTTGTCCGTACGAAGGAGTTTGCAGCATCATATTGTTTGTACGTGGCTATTAGTAATTTAACCAACCCGACTTCTATGATACAATTCACATGTATACTCGCAAGTCTTGAGGTTTTGACAGTAAATTTAATGTTGGTAATCCAAACACTTTCTGAAATATCCTTTCAGTCATGCGCTCCTTTTATTCACACACTGGTAATATTTGCATTTTTCAAAATATCTCTTCCTAATTACAGTGCCGATCCATCCAGCGTGCTGCTTTTCTTTGGGTTACATTTGGCCTGGGTTACATTTTGGGTTACATGAGGATGTGGGTGGTTGCAAATTTTCAGATATGTTTTTGACCGGGATTAATTGAGGCATCTGTCGCGGGTACATTTTTAACAATGAGCATGCGCGTTGTGCGCAATCAATGATTTTTATGTTGACTGACAAATTTTGTAAATTTGTGTTGGGCTTTTATTCAATAAAATATTGGATGGATTTACATTAGTTATGGAGTAGTCTAGCATGTATTTCCCACATGTGATACTGATATGTGGGGACTAAAAGGTGGTTTTAGACATTAAAAAGCATTTTATCACCCCACAAACTAGGCTGTAATATGTGTTGTGAGTGATATATGCAAATTACTACAGGAGGAAATGGTTAAAAGTGTAAAATGACAAATATTCAGAATATATCCAAATGTTTAATACACTTGTTTGTCAGACTGTAAATTTACTTTCTACATATATAAGTACAATGCTCATGTGTCATTTTTGATCATTAATCAGATTTTACTTATATTTGGAACACGCTTTGATCTAAAACAAATTCTGATGAGTGCGTTCAAACTCAATAGCGACAATAGAAAATTGAGCACATCCTTCCAAAACAAACTGAAAGCATCTCACAGTCCTACAGCACAGAGGTTCATTGTATCCCTCATGCGTCATCAAAGCTCCACAGAGCAGGTGAGTGAGCCGTGTTTTTACTTTGATGCATCAAGTGGGACAAAACAAAGACACAGGGGTATGTATGTTAAGTCACCATTGACTATTGGTGACTTGACATAGTTTAGTTTTAAGGCAGGTTTTGGATATCCTGGATCAAGATATTTCCCATCGGAGGATACTTGCAATTATTGCCCAGACTGTAAAACAGACAAAACAGCAAAAGCAAGGCAATAGCAGTAAACTCAGTGAGACAGTTGATACGCTAACAATACACAAATAATTAAATAAAATATGTATATATTTAGTAAAATAAAACAAATAAAAGCCAGTCTGTAAAAAAATGCTTTAGGAAGTGATTTAAAAGCGACTACTGACAGATAAATAAAACACATCGACGCCATACTTTATGGTGATTTAACTGAATCTTTAGGTCAAAATGAAACCGTCACGTTCACAGTCGCTATAACGCTGCAGAATTGATGCAATAGCTCGTGCAGCTGTCCACCAATCAAAATGAAGCGCAGTCACAATCACCCGGATGTACTCCTGAAGCACTTCCTCGTCAACACATTTGCATGGTAGAACCTAGAACTATTGAGCTGTCGTTACACTGATAGCAAGTCGTTTACACAACAGCCATGCCGGGCCCGGACAAAGAAACGGATCTGACGGAGAGAATCGAAGCGTTTCTGACCGACCTGAAGCGTGGAGGAAGCGGGACGGGACCGCTCCGGGGCTCGGCGGAGACAGCCCGAGAGACAACAGCCCTGCTCCGCAGGATCACAGCCCAGGCTCGGTGGAGCAGCGCTGGTACTTCATGCTACTACTACTGTGTTTGTTAATGTACAGTTTACATCACACGTTACAGCGGTGCAGAAAGCTGTCATTGTAGCTGAACAGTGAGGACTTTAGTCAAACCTGTAGTAACGGCTGCAACAGCTGTCAAAAGTATATTTTACAGTAACATTAACCTTCGATTTTCTCCATTATCTTTATTTAGAGTCTATATTTTCTTTGTGAGACTTCCCTTAACTGAGACAAACATAGAGTTGTATTAATCTGTAATTTTGTGTCCCAATACTTTATCTGAATCTATAGTATATATGCACACATGGTATAATATAATATATGTGCAGAGGAAACATTATATATGCATCCAGAATAAATGACGGTGATTGCAATGCATGTGCGTGAGAATACAGGGTACCATAACATGCTTATTTTTTATTATAAATAATAATAAACTGTTTCACTCTCCATTCATGTAGCCTATGAATGAAAAAGACATGAGTGGTACATCAGCTTTGGATGGGCTTTGCAGGTTTGGAGATGTTATTAAACAGTGGATTGAGTCACAGGTTCAGTTTGTCAAAAAGCTTTAGCATTTAAAAAATATATAATTTCCACTCGAAATGTTCTCTTGTTTCAGGCGATCTGATGGAAATAATCTGTAAGGAGGGGAGGAGAATGACGGCCGCGCAGCCCTCAGAGACCACTGTTGGTAACATGATCCGACGGGTGTTGAAGATCATCAGAGAGGAATATGCCAGGTGAAGACGTAACAGACTCACAGCAGTTTAAACCAGTCACTCCACTGGAATGTCTTCCTGGATAAATGTATTTGCTGTCGTAGCACTCGTGTTGTTTGTTGACTATATCTACTGTTCCCCTCTCTCTCTAATGTCAATGAAAGTGCATGTAGTGTGTCTGCAAAAACGTCTGATCTTTGCACACTTCCCCCTTCCTATGAGCTTGTTTGCTCTGTTGTGTTCTTGAAGATCTCGAGGCAGCAGTGAAGAGACGGACCAGCAGGAATCCCTCCACAAGCTGCTCACCTCTGGAGGATTCAGCGAGGACAACTTCAAACATCATTTTGCGGCACTCAAAGCAAATGTCATCGAGGCCATCAATGAGTTGCTGACTGAGCTGGGTATGTTTTGGGGGTTTTTTTAAAGCGGAAATTTGCCCGTTTTCAACCTTTTATCTAACTATCCGAGTTCGGGACACCTGCAGTTGTCACTGACGGTCTCTGGGTACATCCCAAGTCTCTTATTTGTCATTTCCTCGCTCCTCGCTTGAACCGGAAGTTGTTCTGCGCCGCCATATTGACGGACGTCCCAAAGCTCTTATTTCTGATCGAGGAGGGATCTCCGAGGAGCCATGAGCGAGGACACATGAGAACAGCCTTCCAGGAAGGGTTTTAAAGGCCGACACGCCCCCTCATTGTTCGTCAGTTATGTGATTGGACGCTCCAGCTGACCACCGCCGTCATCAGAAACAGACGTCGCTTCACGTGACGCAACTGAGCAAAGGACGTCTCATATCTCTTAAAACATATTTTCCTCGTTTCCTCTCTCCTCGCAAGGAAAGGAAGCAAGTGAGTGAAACGAGGATGCAATTAAGAGACTTGGGATGTATCCTCTGTGTCTGTGGGGCGCAGCTGCAAAATCTGTTGCTGTTTTGTATAGCAGTGACATTACCGTTGTTTATTTATCAGACGTGGCAAACTCTCCGCTCACGCGCAATGCATCCTGGTACATGTAGGCACAGCCAGCACGGCTCAGCAGCAGGAGAAATCAGCTTTCTATTGTACATATAGCACGCTCTACAGACTTTAGTTCTTCATGGTTGAATACCACCATCACTGATGGGACATTCATATAAAAGGTGGCAAATTTTCCCTTTTAACAAGCAGGGCATGTATCTTGTCTGTATTTACTCTTTGCTGTTTTGTCCCTCCACCACTTTTCAGAGGGAACAACTGACAACATAGCGATGCAGGCCCTGGAGCACATCCACTCCAATGAGGTCATCATGACTATCGGCCGCTCTCGCACTGTGGAGGCCTTCCTCAAAGACGTTGTACGCAAACGCAAGTTCCACGTCATTGTGGCAGAGTGCGCCCCCTTCTGCCAGGTGGGAATAACGCAGCAAAGACACAAGATACAAGAATTTAGTGTTCCTGAGATGAACGGTTGTTCTGATATTTACCTTATTTGTTCTTCGCCTCCCACCAGGGACATGTGATGGCAACCAGTCTCTCAAAAGCCGGCATCGAAACAACCGTGATCGCAGACGCTGCCATATTTGCGGTCATGTCTCGCGTCAATAAGGTATTTAACGCCACAGAAGACTTTGAAACAGTCGTGTCAGAGCACGCGAGTTAACCTGTGTGGGGGGGGGGGGGGGTCTCGTTTCAGGTCATCATTGGTACGCAGACGGTTCTGGCAAACGGCGGTCTGAGGGCCGTTAATGGGACACACACTCTGGCCCTTGCAGCCAAGCACCACTCAACACCGCTGATTGTTTGTGCTCCCATGTTCAAGCTCTCACCTCAGGTAAGAAGACACTCTAGTCTGCCAGGTATCCGTAACTTCTGCTGACGGCAAGATGACGACGGAAGTATTTTGTGTCCTTAGTTCCCAAATGAAGAAGATACCTTCCACAAGTTTGTCTCTCCACATGAGGTGCTTCCTTTCACTGAAGGTAACGCTGACATTCCTCACAAAGTGTCACTTTTAAGCCTTTAAAATGAACGTTGCTCCTTTTGTAGAATAATAGTTCTGAAGTTCATTTTCACAGTTTCAAATTTGTATTTCAGGTGAGATACTCTCAAAGGTGAACGTGCACTGTCCAGTGTTTGACTACGTCCCACCTGAGCTCATCACTCTGTTCATCTCCAACATTGGAGGACACGCACCGTCATACATCTACCGACTGATGAGCGAACTTTACCACCCAGAAGACCATGAGCTTTAACCAGTGTAATTAATAAATAAATGAATAACACAATGTTTGATGCAGTCATGTGTGTCTCTTTTGATGAGTTACTGTGTGCTGTACTTTAGGAGTTCTACTGAGAGTGTTCCTGGAACTTGTTAATACAATGGTGACGCTTTATTTTTGTACTTTCAGGCAATATGATGGCATAACTCCAAGTCACAGTAACTTGCTGTAGAAGTAAAGCAACTAGTTGCCAGTAGTTTACTGTAAACATACAGACAAATGTGTTTTCTTCCTCTACAGACAATACAGTACTATGATGTAAATGTTCCAGCTAATCAAAGGTTGGTTGTGATAGCTTAGTTTAAGAAGTAGGAGAATTCAACCCATAATACATAACGTAATATTTCAGTTCCTCAGAAAAATAAATCTAATACATTTAGCTCTGAGATGTGGTTGAGGTGTAGAAAGTAAAGTTCAAGTACCTTGAATTTACACTTTGCTACATGCCACTACTGTATTCAGGGTTATGAATACTCAGGTATTTAATATTCCATGTAAACGCCATACCCTGAATATAATCAACAGGATCAAGTTCAGGGGTTTTGTGTCACAGCCAGAATAAACTGCGCAGCGATTAACACGGTGAATAAAACCTCCATTATATTCTGGTGGAAGCGTCATGGCTGAGAAATACCGTACGATGTAGTTGCATGTGTCCTCCAGGGGGAGGCGGTGTAGCACACTCAGAACAGCGGTCTGTGAGGGGTTTTCATGTGAATAAGGAGATAAAGAAACAACGATGAAGCTGCTGTGTGCTGTAAATGTACAATGTAGTGTGTATGTGTGTAAAAGGTAGTTCGTAGATGTGTCAAAAAGACTGGGTCCCGCTGTATTACTCAGGCTGCACTACAGCGTCTATTCACAGGCGCGATCCCACTACTGAGCGGCACGGGGGCTTTGACCTGCTCCGTTTCCGGCCTGGGCCGGTGCACCCCTCCTTAGACGACCTGGTGGTCCCGAGCTCCCCCAGGAGCACCATATCGATACCGAACTTAATGCGGACACCCGATCGGCATAGTGCACTGCAGCTCAGAACTCCTGAGCTCAAACGGTCCGCCAGACTTAGCCTCCCAGCAACTTGGATTACAGGCGCGCGCCACCGCACCCGGCGAGGAACACAGACGTTCACAGGGCTTTTGAGTTGGACTACGGTGACGTCATCACGGAGCACGATGCAGCGGCTTCTCGTGGCGGGAAATAAAACTGCAGCTTCAGAGAGACGAAAGCCATAAACCATCACAYATAACCTGAAGATAATGTACTTGTTATGCCTCTTTGAATGACGTCATATTTACATATAAAGTCTCATTATAATGATCTTTATCTTTTGTATGTAACAGGCTGATCTGCATCACAGTTTACCGTCATTACTATCTGTCCACTCTCCCTTGTGCACACAGCAAATTAATTAGATTGATAACATTCAGCCACTAGATGTCCCACTTTCCGATTCCCGTTATGTTGCATTCACTTCACAACAAGTGGTTGGAAGTTCTGTCAACCATGTCTGGAGCAGGAGTGTGGATCTTTAATTATACTACATCTGTTGTGTATTCGGGGTTCTGCACAGTAACTTAATACATGAGATAAACCAAGAACAAGTATGTTGCACAACCTGCATCTTTCACGGTGCGAGATTCATGTATCCTAATCTGGTAATTTTGGCTATCTAGTGTTGTAGTGCAGGGTATACAGCATCATTTATTCCCATTTATTTCTTAGTCGCCCACCCACTTCTTAATCCCCTCTGAGAATTATATATGTATTTTAATATTTGTCAACAAAAAAAATGATATGACCTGTAAATTCAACATTGCAATAAAATTAAACATATAAAACTGTAATTATGGGTTATGGTTAGCATTATTTCACCTCGGCATCGGTAAAATAATTAATAAATAATCACAGGTTTAATGCACCACACTGGGCATCCACGAAAGCAACCCAAGTATACAGGTGTACAGGTGTGCAGGTGTACCGCTGACCCCAAACAGCCACGCCCAACTAACGTTACGTTGCGAACAACAGGTGCATTCTGGGTCAAAATTAGCCAAAATGCTGTCATGCTGTCATGCTGATCCTTCAGTTGTGACTTTTGAGGGACTTTTTTTTTTTTTTTACCACCAGTGATGTGAGGACGTTCTGCTGTTTGCGACTGTTAGTTGAAGCTCAGAACAGACTGAGGAGGACTTCACGGTTCACGAAGCTGCCAAAATGCCGTTCAGACCGTGTTTGATAGTCTGAGGTCAGACAGGTGAGTATACATCAACACACTGAGTGTGTGGCTGCAGCAGCTGGAGAGTTTTTATTGTTCGTACATGATGCTTCATTTGGCTGTTTTTCACGTGACAGGTCTGTCTGGTGTCCAGATATTTATTGTCTGAGTAAGTTGTTCTAGTGAAGCTACACAGAGGAAGGTGGTGTGTATGTTTATTTTTTCTAATCAGTTTTAGGCTACACACATGCTGCAAAGTATTTATTAGGACTGTTGACTGTCTTTTTTGTTGCCTATTTATGTTTAATGTAATCAGGCTATAATATGAAATCACTGTATACAATATTACAATTTTCTCCCTCTTAAGCCAAATGTTGGATGCGTGCAGGCTGTTTCAAAGCTCTCTATAATTAAAAACAACTAAGGCCTATGTATATTAAAACTCATTTAGTGTTATTTTATGATATAGGCAGGTGATGGAGGCTACTGTAAGTAATATAAAGAAACACCAGGCCAACTGACATACACAGATAAACCAAAAGACAAACCTGGATTTTTCATATATTGTTTATTCAATTAACTGTCAAAAATATTCTTTAGACTGCAGGAATACAATTCTGATGAGGAAATATACAGAACCTCCTTCCTAATCTGTTTATTTATTAACCTAAAAATTGAATATTTAATTAGATGCTTGAAGCAACCTAAAATATCCACTGTGTGTCTTTTCTTTTAAATCTCCTCCTTAAATCAAAAACATAAGGACGAGGACATGACCTCAGAGTCGACATGCTTAAAAATAAAGAAGTGTAATGTTATATCTAACCACATGGTGACTCCCCACCCTGCTTTATTCAAAGGTATAAAACAGCTCTCCTAACTCAAATCCACGGGGGGTTTTGGTGTGTCTGCCAAGTGTAACGTGTTGAGTGGTTGGATGTGAAGGCTTGGGATGAGGGTCAGAGGGGAGCATGAGAGGGGCTCTGGCACCCCGCTACGGTCTAACAGAGAGAGAGTGCATTGTTCTCTGACCTAAATTTATTGACCTGGAACTGCAGAAAAAAAAGAAGGTCTGAATGAATGGGCGCAGCAACATGTCTTCACTCTCCACTGCCCCACACTCGCTGTTCAGACCATGACATCATCCAACTGTCAAACAACATTTTCTGACAATTAGCCCCTCTGAAAGAATAAGACCGATAGGACTGCAACCAGCAGTGTAACATATCTGGTCTCGGGTTTAAAATGGATAATGATTCATCCAACTTGAATCAATTGTGGCTGTGACTGCCTAGTTATTGGTGGAACATCCAAAGAGAGAGTCAATGACTTTCATCCTTGGCGTCTTTTCGGATGAATTTAGGTATTTATTAAGGATTCTGCCTCTAGCAGCAAGAAGAGACTACTAACGGTGCCCTTGAGGAAGACACTGCTGTACAAAATGTTTTGGTAATATGCCTTGATCTTGTGTAAAAAATGACTTTTAAAACCTGGAAGAAATAAGTCGGCTACATTTGGTAACTGCTGTGCTTAAAAGTGCCAGAACAGCAACAATTAATACAGATGCAGTCCACGTAAACCTTGAAGGAGTTGGATGAGAAGCCAAGGTTGCTTTTGTTGTCTCCTGAAGAAAAAAACATCTCTTCTTAAAGGGCCAGTGTGGAGCTTTTTGCAGTAATGGAATAAAGTATTTATAACTATGATTTTGTTGGTGTATAATCAGCTGAAACTAAGAATCATTGTCTTTTTGTTAGTTTAAACGGAGCGGGTCTTCTTCACAGAGTCCGCTGTGTTGCACAGCCATGTTTCTACAGTAGCCCAGAATGGACAAACCAAACTATGGCTCCAGTGAGAGCCTTCCGCGGTTTTACGTACATGTAGGAAACTATGGCTCCAGTGAGAGCCTTCCGCGGTTTTACGTACATGTAGGCATGTGAGTGCAAAAAACGTGGTACCACCAGTCGCAATCTGACATTGTAGTCCCTACAGTCACTGCTGCTCAGTGGTGGAATGTTGTTGAGTACATATTGTGTACTGTACCATAGTACAATTTTGAGATTCTTGTACTTTACTTGTATAAAATGAACATTTTGTTAATATAATTAATTAATACAAACGGACTGTTGCAAATGGACTGTTCTGCATGATGAGTAATTCTACTTGTTGCACCTTTTCTTAACTACTGTTACTTTGCTTGTAACGGAGCGTTTCTTTTGTCGTATTGCTACTTTTACCGAAGTAGAGATCTGAGTACTTCTTCCACCATTGCTGCTGTTCCCTGCAGATCCAGTAGTAGTCCTCAGTGAGTCACATGATTCTCACCTGCAAACACACACTGACCCCTCAATGCCCTTAATGCCCTTAATCAGCCTTTCAATAAGCAGTATACCGTAAACATGCCCACAGACACTAGTTAGCTGCCTGATCGTCAGTGCAGCGTCATGACTTTGTGCTCCAGCGACATGTTTTTCTTCTACCTGCCTCGTCCCTCGGCTGTCTGTTGCCTCCTTCTGTCTCCCTCTGCCTTTGAGTCTTCACCTTACTCACTCAAACACCCATTTGGATCTGACAGAACAACGCACTGAGTTTACCGTCTTTGGCCAGCAGGCTCATCATCAGCATCTCAAACGCATCCAGTGTATAGGTGTGTCTTGGCGAGATCCCGCTTGTCGTTTTTTTTTGTTTTTTTCTGCGCTCACAAGCTCGTCTCAGTGCGTTGAAGAAGAGGAGGAGGAGGAGGAGGAGGAGGAGGAGGGTGGCGGCAGATAAATCTCATTCTCTTTTTCATCACGCTGACTTCATTCTTCACAGTCCTTTGATGAGACAGGGGAGCAAACCTGGGAGGAGTCTGGAGATTTACGGCCGACAGAACTGTGCAGGCCATTAAAGCCCAGCATCCTGCTAATGAACAGTCGGTGCAATCACACCGAGAGGAGTACAGTATGTACAGAGCTCATCGATCCAGTGCCATCCTTTGGGACGTGTAAGCTGTAGTCTGACCCTGTCGCATGAAAGGACAACAAGATTCA